ATTTTTGTAGCAAATAAGCCAAAATAAGAGGGCTATGTTCTGACAAAGTAAAGTATATTAAAAATATCGGCATATCAGAAATCAGCCAAAAATCCAATATCGTACATCCCTACTAGTTTAGTTTAGTAGTTCTGCTTGGACTAGACATTAGCTGATGATTTCAGTCGGAATAAAATTTTATTTTTTTAAACTTATGTCCCCACTTAAAATAATCTGAACTATTTCTTAAAGATGCAAAACTTGTACTCTATAGTATGCGTTTGTTCATTTTTTGTAGTGCACTTTTGATGCACAAATATATGCAAACACTTGTAATCCTTGTAGAACGTAAAGTTAAGGGTAAAGAGCAGCTGGTATTAGAGCTGTCCAAAAGTCCTGAAACCTCCAGCACTCTAAACTAAAACCTCAGAGGGAAAGGTGAAGTTTCATCCAGAGCATCATTTAGGATTGATTATTCTAGCGAGATGTGAGACGTCCACCCCCGTTCAACCCCCGGAGACAATTTAGAGCTGGGAAACTCTTTCTGTATTCAATATGCCATTTGGTAAAGCATGCTCACTTTTCTTTTCACTCCTTTTTTTTTTTCTCTCATGTTTGCAAAGTCATTTCCAGTGAGCGAGAAAACCGTGAATCTTCTGCGAGCTTCAACATATGTTTGGGAAATTTATAGGACTGAATCTTGAGAAGAACTTGATAACAAGACTTTTCCCATCAAAAACATAATATAAGGAACCAATCTTCTTATTTGAACCTGCAGAAATATCAAACTGCTCGGCAAAATCTGAAGAAGCTGTGCTATGTTTGTGTCTCCCGTGTGCATATTTTTGTAGATCAACACTGAACGCCACATCTCCTCCGTCGCTGCAGACACGTGACAAAGAGGCTTTTCCAGTCATCCACGTGTAGATACTTGAAAGCTATGTGTAGAAAAATAGACTTTTAGGAGTACTCTGTTTTATTTACAGCTATGGCTTTACCATAATGGCATGCAGAAAAAATAAAAATAAAAACAAAGACAGGCCTGAAGATTTAACTACCTGAGTCATCTTCTCTATTCCTCTTGCCGAGACTACAAGGGGTAAGGGAAAATTTTCAGCTGTATGCACTAAAATAGCTCCAGTTTTAATCAACACCTTACTGTAAAAAGTCGTTTTTAAGACATTCCATTGTTTTTTTTACATTTTTATGTACATTTCTAACATGTCCATTATTCACAGTGTAAGAGTGGTGAGCGTGAGGAAGGAGCAAAGATCTGCACGGGAAAGGAAGCAGGAGGGTTTTTTTTTTTATTTGCTGCAGTGCATTTAAAGTGAAATGACAAGGAAATAGAAAAGAGTGGGTTGGAGAGTGAGGGGATGGGGCTGGGGACATAGATGCTGAAGATGGATGGCTGCAGCCGATGAACCCTTGGCCGTTATTTTGCAATGCACATGAATTTGGATCTAAAGCGGGCCGATTAATGCCACCACCACTTCCCACTCCTGTTGCTATCAGCTCCCCTCACTGGTCTGCCTCCTTCATCACTGTCATCAGGACAGTTTAAGTACCAACTTCTCCTGAGTCGTGATGTTCACACGCACCAAACGGCATCACATGGCTTTAAAAATCATTAAAGAAAGAGCAGCCAGCGATAACAACATTGATCGTTCAGCCCGACAGGAGAGAACTATGTTGTTCCTGTTTGGTACACATAAACTTCACCTTTGAAGTGAAATAAAAAAAAATGATTTAGCTTTTACAAACAAAAAATATATAATAACGAGTCAGTGCAAGAGAGAAAATAAATCATTCAAGGATTAAATTTTCTTTAGATTGCTTCCTTCAAATGGAATATTTAATATTAATGGGATAAACTATCACTGGCACGCAAACGTCTGGCCAATGCTGATCAAAGTTTCTAAAATTGTGAATAATTAGGATGTAAAAACTGACCTGATTATTAAAATAAGACATTTAACTAAACACAGTTATTTTAAAACCATACAAATTTATGAAAGTTATATTTTGTTGCACTCCAATGCAGCCATTTAGGCAAGCATTACAACCTTCAAGTAGTTTCGTTTGTTCGAAATAATTCTTTCGGTTCTTCTTTTCAGCATTTTCTTTGTGAAAATGTTAAATGCTGTTTGGCAAACGTTATACCTTTTATTTTATTTTCACATAAAATTGATTATAATTAGGAAAGTAAAAAACCTAAATGTATCTAAAGTTGTATTCTAATTTGTGCAATCATACATCCAGTAATTATTAGTTCATTTACTCTGCATCACATGCTGGAAGCAGGGTCAATCACTGACATATTTCAAAATAAAAGTCTAAATACTGGAACCTGGAAGTTGAAGCTTACAGCCCCCTGGATGGAAGTTTTAGTTAATTGTTTTTAAGGTGTAGACTTTTCTTGTTTAGCTGATTCATGTTCAAATGTTAATTTTTCTAATAAGTTAAGCTGTAATTAGTTACTTCATGCTTTTAAAAATGGTCATGTGACACAATGAGTGGAGGAGAAGGCGGGGCTTAAAGCTCTGGTGCATAGAGACTTGTTCCATCATGGCAGCTTGGGAAAAACTGGGTTCTGATGTTCTCATCAACACCAAAAGTTGGGGACGATTAGTGTAGTACTTTAACACATGTCTTTTGCATCATTTAAAACTCCTACAATATTATTTGTATAAATAATTTTGATTTAGGAATTTACGCACCACTTTTCACCCTCCAAACAAACTTTGGCTCACTACAGCCAAGGAACCCAAATTTATCTAGCCACGTTTATTTGATCTAATTTATATTTTAATTGTTTTAAATTGGCAGAGTTCAGATTTCATATATGCAGTTTTACAGAGCATCGTCTGAACCAACACTTCAAAAATGGCTGAATCCTGCAAAGAATTTTCTTTTGTTAGTCAAACACAAGTTTTCATTTGAGTAATTTTCTAAAATCACCATTCTTGGTTATATATATAATTTTTTTTTTTTCATATTTCAGTTTTACATTTACTTCTCCCATTAACTGTCATTTGAATTTAACTTTACCAACTAGCAAAACTGCTCTTTGAATAAGTTTTTGCATTTCCTTGTTGCCTGCTGCTCCTTGTTTGGCGTCAGATACCTGGAGGGCAGGTGCGTGGAGATAATGGCTCAGTCAAGAGGCAAGTTTGCCTTTTAGTGATTGTGAATGCAGCTTTGAAAAGTTACAAAACAACTGATACCTGGATGAAAATGTGTTGAGAGGTTAAAACATAAAAATTGTTTTTTTTTACTCTAATCTCTGTTCAAAATAGAGCTAATTAGTTTAGCTTTAAATCTGAACAAAAATGATATACTGTAATTTCCGGACTATAAGCCGCTAATTTTTAAGCATTGAACACCGCGGCTTATACGATGCTGCTGCTAATTTATGGATTTTTTTTAAAAACTGTTTTTTTTTACAGGCTAATGAGCTTCATGCCACCATAAACATTTAGCCTTGTACGTTTCTCTTGTGGGGTGGATCCTCCTGACTCAATGTGACTACCTGTATATATAAAGGTTTTTTTTTTTTTTATCTGAACAATGAAATTACCAAACAGGTCACAGTGAAGTTTTGGGGGGGGGGGGGGGGGTTAGGATTTTTGTTGAATTTAGCAATCAATGACTTCCTGGTAAGCTCCTGTATTTTCCTTTTTTACCTGTAGTGCTACTGGCACTGTTAAGAAAAAAACACTGTACGTATTTGTGTATGTCACCGGTACGTATTTAATTAAAAGTTTAAAATATCTTTCTGTGAAAATAACTCATGTTACAACATGGACACCTGCGGCTTATAGACAAGTGCGGCCTATATAAGTACAAAATAAGTTGTTTATTTTTAATTTAGTGGGCGTGGCTTATATTTGGGTGCGCTCAATAGTCCGGAAATTACAGTAGTCTTGATTTTATATGTTTACATTTGTTTTGACCAAACTTTTGCATACCATTGTAATTTATCTCCTTCTTTGACTTCTTCACTCATTTATAATTTATTCCATTTTGCAAAAATATTCTCTACACTCGGCATTCAGTGAGTAATTAAATCACTAATAGTGTTAATTTCCTTCAAAGACATTTACAAGCTTTCAAACCGAACAAAAAACAAGTCAAACGACGTCATTTTTCATACCCTTCAATGCAACATCTCTGGCCGTAAAAACATGGGCTGAGCTGATAAGTTGGCCAGTTTCTCTCTCCAAGAAATAGAATTTCATTCTTCGTTTTTGCTCTTTTCTGCTAGAGAGAGGAAATTACTCTTTGTGGCCTGTTATAGTAGCACAGGAAAACCGCCCTGGATGTCAACCCTTCTTAAATCAGTGACATCACGACTGTGCTCAGAAAGCCTGCTTCCCACAGTCGGACCCAGAACAGAAATCAATCACTTCAGAAAAGGAATGGGAGTGTGGGGGGGAATGGGTTTTGCAGACCCAAGGGAAGGTTTAGAGATGGTGCAAAATGCATGAGAGGAATAATGCATAGATTGGTGTGTGCTAAATCATTCAGCGATTATACTTGTTTTTATCAGCATTCAGTATGTACATTCAAATGAATGGGCCCAAATCCCAAGACGGTAAAAAGTGTGCCGTGTAATTCCCTTGGCTCCTTTCCAGCACAACGATTCAGTCATAAAAAATCTGATTTACTGAGAGCGTACAGCTAATGATGTCCTCTGCATTCAAACACTGATAATTCCAGGGACTCACAGCAGTTTGTTTTGTTTTGAGCTTTGAGGTTAATAAAAGTGATGTGTAGCCACCATGCTTATGTTTTTTTATCGACTCTGTGGTTCTCTCTCATGCCATCATCATGAAATCATTACTAAACTATTCACTACCATTTTCTGTGTTATCTCTGCGAGTTTTTACTTTCACTCAAAGGTATAAAAATGACATTTTCATGCATAAGTTACGCTGATAGTCCCTTTCAAAAGCCTCCAACAGCAGAGTTCTGAGTGAGAAAAGCTCCTATTCCTGTTTTCTGCCTCTCGGTCCCTTCTACCTAGAGTTACTCGTCTCTGCCAGCCTGTTGTTCATGATCCCAAGTGCCCCAACCCCCCCAGAGAAACCATTGCTGCGCGAACTGCCACAGACTGTCCTGGGGTAACCATTGGCTGACTCAGATAGCTGCTTCTGCATGATGGCTAGCGACACCTTGCTAGAGGCTGCCAGGTCTTTCATGGAGATCATTTCCCCCGATAGCCTCCGTCCCTCAGTGTCACTATCGCACGGCCCATCTGAGTCGGGCGACTGGCCAAACCGACCCTGGCGACCCCTGGAGCCTGGGCGGATGGCATTGCGTCTGCCCAGGAAGGCATTGGCCTTATTGCAACGCTGGCAAAACAAGCAGCTCATTTTCTCCAGCAGCCAGTTGAGCACCTGCTTAATGACGATGGATATGACGTTAAAGAGAGAGTAAATGCAACACACGCCCATTAGCATGAAAAAGAAGTTGGCCACCCTGTAGATGCTTTGGTATTCGTAAGCGGCACTCTGGCTGCTGACAAAGTCTCCAAAGCCGATGGTGCTGAATGTGACGAAACAGAAGTAGAGCGAATCCAAATAAGCCCACCCCTCCACGGGGCTGTACATGGCCGACGCGCAGCAGGAGATGGTGATGGCAGACAGTCCCAGAATCAGCATCACGTGGTACACGGAGGGCTTCCATCCTGGGAGAGAATAGGCAGAGAAGTCATGGCGGATTCCTGGCGGGAGCAGGCCGCTGTTCCTGATCCGCCGCTCCCTCACAGCCTTCATCACCACAGCCAGGAGGGTAATGATGCGCTCCAGGAAGAGGTTAAAGAAGAGGATCGTGGCAGCGCAGCCCAAAAGTCCGTAAAAGATAAGGAACACCTTGCCTGCAATTGTCACCGGTGTAGTCATCCCAAAACCTGCAGAGACAAGAGAGACATCACAGTTAGTCTCCTGAACGAGGTCAAAAAACAAACTCACCTACTGTGGATTTCTTAAGTGTCTTCGCAAGAAAATATGTCAAAGTAATAGGTGAAAATAAGACAATCTCAAGTTTAAATTAGGTTTATACACTTTGCTTTAACACATTTCTTTCTTAACATTTGTAAATGATAGAAAGCATGGCATTTATTACAACTAATTGGTCAGAAATAAAAAAACAACAACAGCCTTGAAATAAGACAAAACTGGCAATCATTGGAGGGAATGCTTATTGCTTTTTGCCTTGCATGCCAATATAAACATTTTTAGCAGGCTCTGTTAGCCCTCAGAGTATGTATTGTAGATGACTTTTACCTACTATTATGTTAAGTTGTTGCTCAGTATATGTAAAATCGACTGTTGTAGCCATTTTGTGTTAGATGTGGTCAGTTAGTTGTGATGACCATTGTGTAAATGCTGATTCAGCACATTATGACCATTGACAAGTCTTACAGTTACCATTTACACACAGCACTTCACAACCACCCACAGACTATTAAAAATCTAAATAGTTCAACAAACAGGTTTATTTAATATTCAATATTTTTGTGGAAAATAAAACCTTCTACTGCGTAGTGGCACAAATGAGCTTATTTAAACCCCCTGAATATTACATGTCCTGCCTCAGCTGTGTGATTTGATTCAGTTTACTTCGAGTGCTGAAACTGAGGAGGAGGCTTTAAATAAGGAGCAGAGGAAAAGATGTCTCTGCTTTTTGCTCGCTGCTGTAGAAGCAATCCCAAGTCTCCAGAAGAGTCAGGTGCAGCTGTCATGTTAATACGTGCTGAGCAGAGTCTGAGTGTGGGAAGGTTAAATATTCTCTCAGCAATTAAGCTGGCTCTCCTATTAAAGGAAAGCAATAAAACTAATAAAGACAAATGATTGGTTCTTTTTTTTTTATGACTTAAGAGGAGATAAGTTGCAAAACTGTCCCACGAACAGTTCTTTTTTTATTTACTTTTCTGCAAAAATCACAGGTTTATTATCACTTGCCTTTCATGGTTGTTGGTGATCATGTTGTTTCCTCTGTGTGTGTATTTCATTATTTCATTCACCTGTTAAAGTACAGTACGGATCTCTCGTTTATCGCGAGGGATCCGTAACTGAAGCCCCACGATCAGTGAAAAACCACAAAGTAGAGCTAATTTTACAAGTAGTAAGTAGTAGTTTATTTTAGTATATATGAAAATAATAAAGTAA